GCAGGAAGGTTAACAGCCAAAGCTAAAGCTGTGACTACTCTGAGTGCAGACGAAAACCAATGGCAATTTTTTTTTCCACCCTGGATGCACAGATGTTCCTGAATGTTGTAGACACATGTTCCAAATGCAGCTTACCTCCCTTGAGCAGGCAGGTCACACCGGACAGGTTTCTAAATCTCCTTTGTCACACTGCCATGTCTAGCCAAACCTTTGCCCACCACTTCCTCACCTGGGTCAGGGTACACTGGAGTGCTTTCAAACAGGATAGAGGTGGCTCCATTGCAGAGTGGTCCATACACAACATAGCTATGTCCCGTGATCCAGCCAATGTCAGCCACACAGCCAAAAACATCGCCTTGCTGGTAGTCAAATACATACTGCAAAGATAAATGTAAGGCCAGCTGACTTTCTGTTGGCAGGCGCAAAGAGCTTAAAGGTAAGGCGCTGGACTGGACATCCAAGTGGGAGCAAGAGAGCGCACAGGGCGAGCGGAGCCAGGCACGTAGGACACGGCAACACAACGGCCAGCCCAAGGTGAGGAAGCAAGTCAGAGGGACCAGTATGAGGGCTTCCAGGCTCCTGACTGCTTTTGCAAACATACAGGGAGCATGGCTGTACCAGCAGCTGCTCAGACTGGAGCAATAAAGCTTACAGTCAAAGCCCTGGATACCTAAGGTTGCCTACTCCAAGCAGTTCACATGGGAGAGCTGACCCTTATCTTCAGGGCCTCAGAGGCTCAGACCTCTCACAAATATGAACAGGTTTCCATGAGAATCTGGTATGTGCCTGTGAAACGTTTTCTGAGAACTGTTCTTAGCTGTGCAGCTTCTCTATCAGTGTATCGCTTTCCAGATGCTCCCCTCTCCTTGCTCATCAAATTCAAGATAAAAATCTTGGAAAACTCATTATCTTGTCTTAGTTATGGAAAAAGCTTCCCACTGTAAATCTAACTGCTCTACTGTATGGTGAAGAGGTCCTGACGCATAAGGCAGAGTCAGCTTTATGTTTTAAATGAAAGAAAGTGGACCAGAACTGAAAGAAAGTGGACCAGAACTAAAAGAAAATCCCGTAAGTGTGTGACAAGAGTGTCACACATGAGTGTGCAAAGACCACAGAGGCCACACAGGTCAGCTGATCCCTCTACCTAGGAGGGCCAATTCTCACCTTACTTTTGCAAGTGCCTTTCCCTCTCAGGCTCTGAAGTACCTCTAAAGGGACCCCAGCTGCATACAGTGCCTCCATGCATGCCGGCACCAGGGTGCAGGATCTACCTTCTGGACTAAGAAAGAGATGCCTTGGAGATTACACTGTCACTTAGAAAAGCTGACATAACAAATATCCTTCATGCAGAGAAGTCTGACACTTGCACATTCCAATCTTCTAAAAATTCAACTGTGTCAGCCTAAAGAAAGAAAACCTCTGCCTGAATTGTCTGTGATTACAAACAGGGTGATACCACTAAAGCCAGATGGAGATCTTTCACCACAATCCTCTCCACATTTCACTGTTACCTTTTCATATGCAGAGCTCAGACCAGAAGCTTCAAGAAGCAGTGCCTTGACATTTTTTTTTTAATGAAAAGGGGTGTTAAAACATTTAGCCTAGATCACATACCTAGAAAAGCAGCGCAAAGGTGCAACGACAGAGCATGAATGTAATTTTTCATCTTCAGACAACAAGTGCTATGCAAAGAGGTTGTTTTAAGAGTCCAGATCCTCTATGAAACAAAAAAGGCCAGCATCCCACTGCAAAATACTACAGGAATTTCCACACTACCAATGTCAGTAAGATACTTACCAGAATCTCCTCAGCTGCATCACTTTAATGTCCGCAAATTTTGGCCTGGAACACTGGCACATTTTAAATGCAAAAGTAGCAGTGCTGCAGTTTCCTTCCTTTCATAACTCTAGGCTCTGGTTTGCATAGTATTATATTCCCCAGGAACAAATCTTGAAGATTAAATACATGTTCTCAGACATTTTTCAGTTTGTTTACACCCAATAAGCCAATTGGGCAGCGAACACAGAATACAGCACCCCTCACCAGTCCAAGTCCCTCTCGTTAGGACTGTCGTTAGGACTCGGAAGGCAAGTGAACCTTTCCCAGAGGATGCAGCCAAGTTACCTTGTGTGTGATAGCAGCGTACAGAAGGTATCCAGCCTGGGTGTGAACGATTCCTTTGGGTTTCCCAGTGCTGCCCGAGGTATACAGCATGAAAAGCATGTCTTCGCTGTCCATGCTCTCTGGAGTGCATACAGAAGCTGCCTTGGCCATCTCCTAAGGGAAAAAAAAGGTGGTAATGACAGAAAGACTTTGGCTATACGGAGCCAACCAATACTCCATCTGTAAGCATGTCAGCAGCGTCCAGAGACAAGAACGACCATTGCTGTTGCCCCCTCACAAACCTCCATGGATGTATCATAGGTTATCTGCGCTCACCTAGTGGAAAGGTTCCTGTGGACACATAGCACCTAGCCTTTCCACCAATACCTCTGCTAGGCACAGAAGTCAAGGGGAATTGGCCAGGTAAAATAACATTTCAGGAGAAAAATGGTAGGTCATAGCTTACATTTCAAGCCTTTACGAGCTGCTGGTAGAAAACCAAGTGTGACTGCGAACATGAACCACACTTGACAGCAGCAGCAAGGTTGACTGGATGCTGTTCAGGACCTTCCTTTTCCTTGTAAAACTGCAGTGCTACAGTTAAAGTGTGCGTTCATCTCCCTTCCCTGGCCTCAGCAGCAGATGACTGTCCTGTCCATTTGATCCTCAAATTCTAATGGCTTCTACCCATGAGGGGGAGAGTGCTTTACTCTCCTGCCTCTGTCACTCTCTTCATACTCCACTGTTTGGCCAGGTGGGTGAGATCCTCTCCTCACCCCAGGGTCACAACCACGGGAGGGAAGGATGCAGTGTCCTACTAGGACAGAGCAAACTTTTGGTCCAGCTTGTGTGCCCAGCCCAGCAGAAGAAGGGGAAATAGTGTCCTTTGAAAGAGATGCTTGTGGTCACTGAACTTTGCAGCAGCAGAGGACTTGTCTGCCCAGACTGCAGATTTTTCAGGATGAGGTTGAACATTTTTCGTACCCTTGTACAAACTTGCAATAATCACTGTGTGTTCCAGATGCTCAACATATGGCTTCAAAAAAAAGCACAGCTGGCTTGCTTCTCTCAGGCTCTGTACTGTCCTAGATGAATAATGATTCCTACAAGGGTTATTAGATGGCTCTTTGAAGGAATTTGTAGGTACTGCCTTTTTACAAGTAGACACTGCAAACACGCTTTACAAGTGAACGCTACCAACAGCAGATCCAGTTGTTTAAAAGTGTCTGACAAACAAAGCTTAATAAAATATGAAGAGTTGGTAGGGTCAAATGTAATTCCTAGCCTCTGACTTACAGCACCCCTGCTCATCTCAGGTATTTATTGTGATATTTCAGCACTTCCAATTCAGGCTGATTTGCTAGATGGAGTTACATTACAACATGAGCTTAAATTTTGCAGTAAGCCATCGCACAAGAGCTGGAAAGCACAACTGCTGTAAAGATCAGTAATGACAGAGTTAATAGCATTAATGGTTTAATTCTTGTTATGTTTCAGACCCTACAACTGACAGTGGGCTGAGTTCAGCTTTTGGATCACCAAAGCATCTCAGGCTGTTTGCAGACTAAGGAAAATCGTCAGAATGTGCTTGGTGGAGTAAGAAGGAGTAAGACAATTTCCGAGCAAAACCTGCCTTCTCCCTGTAGCTTTACCCCAGTAGTTGCTCCTGTCTCATGTGACCAGCACCAGAACTCCTTAGTAATTATCTTGGCTGCAGGCGGGTGATTTCCAGGAATTATTACAATGAGGAGTTTCTGTTTACTGCTGCTGGCAAACTGATAAAACTACTTCTGTATTAGGCTGCAGTTCCATGTGTACCAGCTAAACACGTTAAAACAACTGCTGTTTTCTTCCCCAGGAAGCACAGGTTCTAAATATTCCCAAGCCATCCCTGTCCTCCCATCCTGGGGTAACCAGGACACTGCCCATAGGCTATATTAAGCCTCTCCAGGAATTTGATTATTTCTGCACTGCCTTTCAACAGCATCCAGTCTCAGAGTGCATATGACAAACAGTAACAGAGTGCCTGAACACGGTATAACAGCAGCAGCAATGGTATCCGTGCACTCTGGGTCTCAGGAAACACTCATTCCTTAAATCTCAGCACTGTTTGCAAGACTTAACAAAATGGAGCGGCATATCCCCTGCCCATGCTGAGATGAATCAGACACAGATTGAGCTGCTTCAACTCACAATCCTAGCAGACTGCAAATACAGGCAATCCATTTGAGGATGAAGATCCAGATGCCATAAGGGGCATCTCAGGTCCAAAAGGCACAGATGGAGAGAAAGGTGATCTAGCCAACACTCAGACCTAAAAGGAGTTCTCCAGAGTGCCAGTGGGCGTATGCAGAGCTAGGTGACCGCAGGGATGTACAGATGCTGTCACTGCAACATAGCTGTATCCATTAGCCCACTGGGGTACTGTGGCAGCAGGGGAAGAGCAGCACGCACTGAAAACCTGCTCCAGAGGCAGCATAAAGGCCAGTCATCGCTGGTAGGCCTGGTGCGGCTACACTACAGTGCCAAGCTGCAGTGCAGCGGCTGCTTCATAGGCTTTTAGCTCAGCACACATACGCAAGGAAAATATGGAGACTGCCTGATGTCCTCTTCCTTGGCTGCCGATTTCCAGCGTAGCCTACAGCAGATCAAAGACCAAAGCCAAATACCAGAGTGTGCATGATCTACACATTCAGCAAGACTCTCACACATGTGTTCTGAACAGCCCTGCATCAGGTCTCTCAGAGATGTCTGTGTTAGCTGGTCCGTACGTTTATTAGTGCACCGTATTTCTCTCCCCCAGCACAGTAAACATCACATACTTTAAGAAATATTAGGGGGAACAGGCAAGGTTTACCAACACCAACATACCTCCTCAAGGGGAATATCACGGTCACCCATCCGGACTTTGTTATCTGTCCTCTGAGCCACAAAGACATGTTTGACGCTTGGACAGTTCTTCACAGCTACATCTACAGTCGTCTTCAGCTCTATGATTCGGCCTCCCCTGACTCCCTGGTTGTAGGTGATAACTGCTTTGCATCCAGCTAAAAAGGAAAAGAATTAGCAGACATACCAGCCTGTCTTCCAGGCTAGTATGTGCACCCTGCTTTCATTACTTTGAGGGATGATGTATAGGACAACATGCGTGACAAATACTCAGAACTTCTATCAATCAAAAAACAGTCAGTGTCACTGATGAAAACACTTTAAAGCCTGAGACCCACAGAGATTAGGGGTAGCTGGAACCTCCATAGGTTATCTAGTCCATCTCCCCCACCCCAAGGCAGGGTCCGCTCCAGCTAAACCATTTCTGACAGCTGTCAGTCCAATCTTCCTAAAACACTCCAATGGTAGCTATTCTACCTTCTCCCCACCAGTCCACTCCAAAGCCTATCACGATCATGAGAAAGTCTGTCCCAATGTCTAGCCTAAGTATCACTCACTGCAACTGAAATGCCTCCATTCCTGCCTAGCAAAGCCGACATGCAGAACAGTTTCTTCCCGGTTACTTGCATTATAGGGAATACTGCTGCTTTAGCCTAACAGCTCAGGCACTGAAACCAGTGCAAGACTTCCTACAGCCTTAGTGAACGAGCACCTTTGCCCCCTCTCATCCTCTCTCTGGGGCTGCACCTAAGTCTCCGTTGCAAACTGAAGTGAGCAGCACCAAACCCAGCAGCCTCTCGGAGGCGTTACCCTGCTCTGAGATACCTGCAGCCTTCTGAAACTCACAGGTACCTTGAGGGGAAACCTCCTGGAAGCCACAGCACACAGCAGCACTCTGGCAGAGCACTTCAGATTGTACCGCACTACATTATTAGAGAGCTGTGGCTGCACAGAAATGGCTCTTTAGCCCATCGCCTCCACACAAGCGGCTTAAAGTGAGGGATAACTAAAACACATACTTGCTCTCTATAGATTAACTCTACTAAACTCTACTGAAACAGGGGAAAAAAGCATGAAAATTGCTGTAAGACTTATTCCCTCACACTAGCCATAAAGAAACTGATGTGACTGCTAGGACATGAGCCACTTGCTATTTTGCTCTTCTGCTGGTATTCTTAGCATTACTTTTTACCTAATCACACTACAAGTGCTTTGGGCTAAGAACAGCTCTGTCTGTTGATACAACGGCTAACAGAGCAGGGGCAGGCTGCCAACACTTCCAGTGCTATGCATAAATCACAGTATCACAATTGAGACTGCAGAATTAGCACTGTGCAGGAGTATCAAAGAAACACTGCGATTATACTGCAAAAGAACAAATCGGGCCCCATTCCTAAGCTCTGGTTTTCCCTCCAGCTTCACTGCTGTCTGGCAGTAACCCAGCACAGACTGAATGTTAAGCAATTTATAAAGTATTTTAAGGCTAGAGGATACTGCATCTGCCACTAAGGAAAAGGCTCTTCACGATACTTTGCAAAGGAGAGTGAACTGTCCCGCCAGCTGAGAATGAACCTTTTCTCTTTCTGCCAAGAAAATAAAATTGGAATATGTCTTGGAGCACTGTCCAGAGGGGTTTGTTCCCCGGTCTACATCTACTTACAGTCCATGATCCTCCCAGCTAAGGACTCCGCGCTGAATCCAGCGAAGATCACGGTGTGAACAGCACCAATCCTGGCGCAAGCCAGCATGGCTGCCACAGACAAGGGAGACACGGACATATAGATGGCCACCTTGTCCCCTTTCTGTATCCCATATTTCTTCAGGGTGTTGGCAAGACGGCAAGTCAGATCCAGAAGTTCCCTGTGACACAGAAGCAACGTTGTCATGGGACTGCACAACCTGTTTTACGCGGGGGAGCAAAAAAAGGATGAACTTGAACCGAGCGAGGCATCACGATCACCTCTGGACCTTGTCCTCTCCGCAGTACAGGGCACACCAGCTTTTGCATCTTAAAGAAGGGTGGCCTGGGGTGTGGTGAGGGCCAGACTGCTCCTGACGCCGGGGAGAGAAGAAAAGGGGGGCAAGGAGCCACTCTTGCTGCAGAAGGACAAGCGAGCGAGAGCTGCAGGCGCTGGCCCGAGCTGCCACGCTCTGG